CTAATTACAGCTCCAACGAATCTTTTGTAATTTCTGATGGTAGGGGGTATCCAGCCTAGAGTCTTGTCCAGTTCCGCAGAAAAGCTACCCCAAATGGCTTTCTTTAGATTGCAACGCGTTCCCGCCTCTAAGATCACTGGGCGGTGTTGGCTATGTGGGAAGTCGTCCATTACTTTTCGATAGACTGATAGAGGTTGTCCGTTTTTATTAGTAGAGACAAAACATAGGTCAGGATTGTACTCCTTCTTCCATGCTGCTGACATGAATGTAGGTCGGTCTTTGACGTCAAACTTTAGTGATAGATGTTCGTCCTCCGCCCATTTTAGTGAATTTCCATTGCTGTTGCATTGTTTATATTTCCACTGTTCATAGTGACTGTTGTAATCCCCCACATATATTGACGGGTGCGAATGTGTGTCAATGACTTGAGCTGGCCAGGATATAGCCGGTGGTTTGTAGGTGTTAGTAACGGTGATGCTTCCAATTTTTACAACAACATTGTGAATTTCATCATCAGTACATGTGGAAACAAGGACGGCGTTTTCTGTTTTGTTTAACGTACGTTGCTGTGCCGTATGATCGATGATACGTAGCACCCAGTAGTTCGAAGCCAGGTATTTTCCCCCGTTTTTGCAGTTATTCTTCCGTTTCGCAGTGTGTTTCCTGTAGAGCGACCAGGTCGATGTCGTTATCTTTTAGAAATTTTGATAAGTACTGGCTCTTTGAACTGCATATGCTTTCTACATTTAAATGACAAATTCGGATCTTAGGTCCGAGTTTTCTAGTCGTTGGGTCCTGAGAAGGGCCATTTGTATTATTGTTAATTTGTCTTCTGATAACGTTTAATGGCATTGTTTGCAATGTGTCTCTGGTCAGGAGATCCTAGGATTATCTGACCACTGATTGGTATAAATTTTATATATATATATATATATATATATATATATATATATATATATATATATATATATATTATATATATAAATATATATATATATATAAATATATATATATAAATATATATATATATATATATATATATATATATATATATATATATATATATATATATATATATATATATATATATATATTACGCAGCTTTTTTAAATGCGTTTTTTGTAATTAGTGCTTAAGAAATATTGTTTTGTTAATATCTTAAGGTAACACTGCAAATTAAACGGCAAACAGTAGTCGTTGTATATGAATGATTTATCAAATTATAACAAGTTAACAAATTACATTATAATTTAACTATATACACATACGTTATTAACACATTATCATTATAATTATGTTAGTTTTATTAATTTTAGGACAACGTAAGATCTAAATCTAAATTGATGAAATATAATCAAACAATAATTATATTGAATGATATAGCCCTCCTTTTTATTTATTATATGAAATTTCTAGGAAATGTATTTATAGTTTCAATAATCAACAAACTTACATTAGTTTTGTTTGACCACTTGGTTATGGCAACATGTTGAGTTAAAAGTTCTATATATTCGTAATTTCCTCAAGAAATTCAAAAAGACTGAAGCTATTTTCTTGTGGCATTTTAAAATAATTACTATTGAAACGGGAATAAGCCACAATTAAAAGTTAAATAAGTTTATTGACGTCAATATCCACGTCGAAAATCGTTCTCAAAATACAAGCATTTTTCTTATATATAAAAATTATTATTTTTTTAATAAATAAATTCAAATTATTTATTTATTTATATTTTTTTATTTATATTAATTATTTTTGTTAAAAAAATATTATTAGTTATATTTTATATTAAATTTTTAATTTTAAATCATAAATTTATTTTCTGTTTCCAACCTGACCCCACATATTAATTACACGATCTATACGTCATTCTATTCATGGACAGCTAGAAGCAAGCCTATAAGGAACCAGATAAAGTATGCACGTTTCTTTCTGATTACGTAGACACTTCCATTCCTGACCATGTTATCGAGTTATATCTGTCTTATGATGCACATCTAGACCAAAATAAGAACAATAAAATAATGAGTTTTTATACATGTTATAGTTTGTACATGTATAGAACAAGGTTGTAGTCAAAAATATATCTACTTTCAAAAAATTTAATCATTAAAATTATTGTTTAATGTGGTGATCGTAAAAATAATTGTTAATTATATTGACGATCATATAGACCACGTATTTTTTTGGGTATAACAGTCTTACTTTACTTACTTTCTCATATCCGGACACAATATTGGTGAGTCACAAATCTTCAAAGGTACACAGATGAGATAGTTTCTGAATGTAGGAATATGTTCCATATTTCGTATTTCTTCACAGTTTAAGTTTATCTCACCTTGGTCTATTTTTCCCCATTTTGCCATGTTTGATTTTACTGAAGCGTCTTCCGTCCAATACCTGTGTATTGTATTCACAGTTTGAATCTGGGTAAGAGGAAAATATTTAGGCGGTTCATACTACTGTTCCAGTGATTTTTCTCGATTTCACTCGCTTTCGCGATGTTTAAGCTAGGGGTAGGGAACCTAAAACCGTTTTTTTTTCTACGCAATAATCAGTTTTTCCGATTGTTTTTAATCCCGTTTTTAACTGGTTTTTTCTTTTTATAGTAATAGTTCTTTTTAAAGTATTTTTAGAGTTGTTAGCGCCTGAACGGATAATGGAGCGAACATGGTGGGTGGTTGGAATGAGGAAGTTACTTGGGGAGGGCAAAAAGCTGCATTGTTTTGCACACATATTAAATTTATTTATTATAGATGCCCTAGAGGATGTAAATAATGCGGTAAACGATTTAATTACCAAAGTTAAAACCATCGTCACTTTTACTAGACGTAGCAAGGTGATTATGAAAAAATCTTATGGGAAAACTTTTGGTACAATCCATACCAACTAAGTTGGCACCTGCAATAAATTATAGTTACCATAACTCCTAAATATGGTAAAATCAAATAAATATTAAGTGTCATTTAAATATGTTGACGAAATTAAAATTTCTTCTCTTTTAGTTGTAAGTAATGAACTATTAACTTTGTGACTCTAGCTAAACTCTAGCTAGACTCTAGCTAACTGGTGGTTATTGAGAGTGGCGTTTAATTTGTGGAGGTAACGTCTTGTGCTGTATTGTGGCATAGGCTGCTTTAGATTTACGAAAGCAGCCCTTGTTAAAAGTTGCTAACGCAAGTTGCTAACGTAAGTTAACGAAGTATTTTTTGCCTACCACATGGGGTATTAATACAGGGGGTAGAAAATTGGGACTGAAACTAAGGGAGTGGAGATAAGGCAAGCAAAATAATTGCTACTTGTGCGAACGGCACTCAGGGTTTGTTAGGAGAGCTGGAGTCGTGGATAAGTAAATGGCAAAGGGGTTTGGATTGGGGCAACTACAGGGGTCATTAATCTCTTGGAACAAACAAAATAAAAATAAACAGGAAACACCTCTAGTAATTTAATATAGGTCGCCACTTTGAGGTGCCTAATTATACCTACTACAACCACTAGTTGTAACTAGGGAAACATTTATTAAACATAAAAAACATATCTTTTTCAAATAAAACTCAAGAAAGGGTTAGTTCAAAAAATAAACAAAATGTTAAGAAAACAAAATTTAACATTTATTGTTGTCTTACCACAAACAGTTACAAAACATAGAGCATACAAAAATACTCAAAAAAGACAATACAAAAATATTACCTTAATAGTCGCAAAATACAAAAATACAAAAAACTTACAATCTCTAGGAGTTGAAGATATTACAAAAAACTTACAAATGTTACCGCACAGAGGTTAACTTTTTTTTTAACACACAAAACAAATAAATATCGAAAATAATAAAGCTGTCATATGTTACATTAAATTTTAAAAACTGAAAACAAATAAAATAACAGCTAAAGTTAAAACCTAAAATTTACAATTAAAAAAAAACAAAAATTTAAATTGTTACGAAAGCAATTATTTTTCTAAAAAAATGTCTGTCTTTACTTAAAAATTAAACAAACAATAAAAGTTACCTGGATGTCACAATCACGCATTAAGTTGTAAACTGGACTTCTTAATTAGGTCGAATACAAATCTAAAGTTTAAAGTTGGGGTACACCTTTGACTCGGGTTCTTAAAAAAAACTGGAACCATCGTAGCTCCTACTAACCAAATACATCTCTCATTATCGCCTACATTTCAAACCAGCAGAACTGCAGCTATCAACCGTCATAAAACCATTCTTCACCGCTACATATTTCCACAAAAAAGTGGCCAAAACAGAAAACTACAAATTCGACGAATGAACTTGGAACCATAATTGAGTATACAACGACCCAAGTAAGAATTGATTTGGATCCATACCTGAGCCTACAGGCGACCCAAGAGTAAGAATGACGAAAACATCTTAAAAATTCGTTCACGCAGAAGATTCTATTTCTACGACGTACAAAAATTATAAGGCGACTTCGAATAAAACATTAAAAGAAAATGCCGAGAAATTACACATCTTTAAAATAATAAACAACTCTTAAATGGTTTTTATTACTTGGCAACGCTAAAATGAATTGCAAGAATTCGGTGTTTTAATAAATACGAATCGGAAACTAAAATGGATTAAACATATTCCTCGATTATACAAACATATATGAGAGGATTTCAATATATTACATATACGAGGGGACTTCAATATATCTCAAAGAATCAATGAATTGCAAATGCTACACGTATAAAAAAATAACACAACAGAGAAATAGATCTGTAGATGCTGGGATTATCTGGATCCTCTCCTGGTTTTAAAAAGGCTACTATTTATGATTTTCTCCATGATTTTGAAATTTCGCAAGCTTGATAGCACCTGGTATAGAGATGCAAGATCCATTTTTTTGCTCCTTGCTCTAGGTGCTCTATTTGTTCACTGCATATGTGATTCACATCTACAGCTGAATCAAAAAACATTTTAAACAATTCTTAAAAACATTTATGAAATTCGTAAATTTCTAATTTCTTCTATCATTTGGTTTTAGAATTTCCAGGATATAATTATATGAACCTAAGTGCAGATCCATGTGAAGACTTTTTTGAATATACCTGCGGAAATTTTAAAAAAATATATCCACTAAATGAAAATGTTTCAACCATCGACCAATTTACACTATTGGAGGAAAAACTCACAAACACTGCAAGATGTAAGTATTTTAGAAATTTTTAAACAACAACTGTAACAATGGAACGAACAAATTCATTATTTTGCAGCAAGCAACTTATTTTAGAAAATAATCTTAAAATATGTTAATTTTTATTTTTTATTTTTATTTAGTAATGATGTAGGTGGACGATTATTATTTTTACGGAATGAACAAAAATTTATTTTATTTTTCAGTATGAGAATTTTCTACTACTGTTAAAAATTATTAACAATAAGCTGTTGTAGTTGAATGTAGTAGGTATTTTATGTGACATTCTGTATTTAATAAAGTTTATCTTTAAGTAAAAAAGTACAAAGCTAAAGAAATGCCTGCCTAATGTCAATTAACCCATTTGATTCCACGACATTTTTTTTATTAATACAAGATTTTTTTTGAATGTCCTTGTTGACAACAATATGATCAATTGTGATCACATTGTTGTCCTTCCATTTTACAAAAAGTAGTAGACTTGTTTTGTCAAAGAGATATTCAAAATATCCACGATTCTTCTATTTTATTACAGCAGAAGGTAACAAAGGACATTTTTTTATTTATAAGATTTTCTCTTGCTGTGCCTGTTGTCCTAAAGCCCTTTTCTTTTAAAGTTTCCATCAATCAAATTGTAACTAGTAAAATAATTGTCAAAAAATTCTTTGTCGTCAGTAGGCACATCAACGACATCAATCATTTTTAGAACAACTTGTGATCCTAAATGCAACGCCGCGACTTTTAATTTATCCACTGATGCTCCACAATATGTGTCAAAATTGTAGCAATAACCAGTTAAATTACAAAAGATCCTGTCCTTGTACCCAAATCTTACTGGCTTTCCCCTTATGAACCGTTTAGATGAGTGATGCCCAAAATACTTTCATCGCTTCATCAATTGATAAGTCTTTGTGAAATATGCCAAATTGTTGAAATTTTTTATTTAGTTTGTTCATGCGAGGCCTCACTTTATACATTCTGCTCCTTGTATCAATTTGCAAATTATCTGCCAAATGTAGGTATTTTTTAATTTCTTGGAAACGGTTCCTTGAAATTGCATTATTCACGAGGAGAACCTGAAGATCTTCATCTAAACACCAATAGTTACGCTCTCGTGGCAATCTATGGTATCCAGTAAAAAGTAAAATAGCCAGAAATATCTTTGTCTCTTCCTGCGTTACATGAAATTGATGATTATTAGTTTGAGCGGTATTTAAATGCTGTGTAATATATTTAATAATTTCATTGTCGAAAAATTTCTCAAATATTTCTATAGCAGATTTACCTCGGATTTGTTCTTTCATATCATCCAGACGATCCTCGTAACCTATAGTAGATGTCATACTAATATCAGTAATTTCTTACGTCCAGTCAGATTTCTTGGTTTTATTTTGACCCTTCAGTAAATTTTCTCTTCTAATGGCAAGAGGAAGATTGTCTGCTTCGTTGTTATCAGATTCATCACTCATGTAATGAACCTCTATTTCTCCGGAATCGTAGCAAAGAGAAAGCTTTAAATCTAACGATCATCCTCATCTATGTCCTCATTGTTAGTTTGATAGTCAGTCTCAGGAGGAATAACTCGTACTCGCTAGGCCATCTGAAGCTAAAGCAATAACTAAAAGCTAAAGCTGAAACAATAAAAAACCAAATAATCATTTTGATAGCATATAAACCCACTGTACTCAGATGAGTACAGGTCTATTTTGTAACATAAAAACAACAATAATAAAAAAATCTTATACTGAATAAATAAACTTTACTAATGCTTACCCTTACAACAATAAAAGTTAAAAAATGATAAATAGTATCAAAATTATAAAAAAAACACACTTCAATGATCCAACAGAAATATGGAGCAAAAATTAGGAAGAAGAGCGCCACCTAGGGTATAATTTGTGAAAATCTAGTAGAAAGAATCGGACATACACGTGGTGTACCTACCATTTTCTTACCAGATGTGTCACTACTAGGCCATTTTTGCTGCTGTACTTAGACGAGTACCTTGGGACCAAATGGGTTAAAATATCAGTTAACGTTTTGTCAGATACAGCAAATTTTAAGTAAAAAGTTTTAGAAGTATGGATTTTAAGGTTGGATTTAGGGAGGAGGATAAACGAGGAGATGTTAGACAATCGCGTGGAGTTTTGAAAGTTTTATAGGTATATATTGTTAAAGATGTTTGCAAGGAGATTTATGTTTTAATCTCCTAGTTCAAAGAACTTTACAATTTCACTGTAAATGTTATCGGGACCAAGTGCTTGCATATCTAGTTCCCTGTTACCTGAGAATATATTGTGTTTATTATGTTTATCATTCGCCATTTATTTCTTCTAATCTTCTAATCTGTCTATTATTTCTATTTTCAGTTAGTTCCTTTATTTTCTTGTGAAAAAGTTTGTCATCGTGTTTTTCCGGAAGTCTTCTATCTCTTCACATGTTTCCCTACAGTCTCTCTACTTGTTTTTGAGGTTCTTTATATTAACTGTTCTTTATCTTTATTCTTATGTTGCCTTCTCAAATTTATAATTTTTACTATTTTTCGTGTTGTGGTTTCTTTTGCCTATTAGTCAGTGGTTCGTGTTTTTTTGCCTGTTAGTTTATGTTTTTTGGGTTATATTTGGTTTGTATATATTGCAATATATTGTTTTTAATTCAGACCACAAATGTCAGGATCTTCTCGTTCTCTATACTTTCCGTATTTCTATTCTTACGTTCTAGGCATTTTTGATTAATGTGATGAGTTATATTTTGCTTCGTTTCTTTTTTCCTTAGTAAGTTCCTGTCTGGTGTTGGTTATTTCTTTTTTGTTTTGATTATGTTTAGTTTATTTTTAAATTTGGCTACAATCAAGGTGTGGTTGATGCGAACATCTGCATGGAGAAAGGCGTCAGGATTTTGCCATTATAATACTATTTCGGTATCTGTGATTAATCAATATGTAGTATATCTGATTTATGATGCAATTTTCTTTATTGTATTGTAGCGATTTCCACGTGTATAATCTGCGAGCTGGTAGTTTGAACCATTTATAATAATCATGTTCTGTTCATACAAAACTGAAATAGTTTGTCGCCTCTTTCATTCCGTAGTCCTAGTCCATTTTTACTAGTAATGTTTTCAACTTTGTCTTTTTCCACTCAAGATTTATAGATTTGTTTAGAACTGTTCAATCTCAGTATTAGGTTTAAAGGTTGTGGGAGCATCAACTTATATAATATTGATGTCAATTGAGTTTTTCGGACCACAATACATATGAAAAGGTCGCATTGTAATACACCAAAAGCAACCTTATTAAATTTGATTGAATGTAGTTGCAGTTGTAGAATAAACATAGATCTGAGCGATAGGCCACATTTGTACCGCTTTTTTAATATATCTTCGCTTATTATGATTCCGACACCAATAGAGTGGCCCCAAGATCTCCAACTCTTGCACCCTTCAATTTTTTTATATGGAGTTTTTTAAAATCAAAGGTTGATGTAGATAAATCTCAAACCTACAGAAGTTACAAGACCGAATTGGAGACGAAGGTAATAGAATTACTCCCAAAGTGTTTTGTAATGTTCAAAAATAACATGTTCGTCGATTTGCTTATTATCAAGACACCGGTTAATGGCACCTTAAGCACTTAATTTAGCTGAGAAGTAGTATGTAGTAATTAATTTAATATTGCAGTTCGTCTATTAAACAATTATTCTCTGATTAAATTAAATTACTTTTTATTTTTCCTGTATAAGCCTGAGTAGTTAAGTATGAAACTGCTTAATAAATTATTAAAAAACCTTTTGTTTCAAATGAGGTATTACAAGACCCACCTTTTAATTAAAAAATCAACGATTACGTCACCTTGTCAAAACTCATAACGTCATCATTTTCACAAAGTAATAAAAAAATCGATATTTAAAATTAAAAATCGACATATTTTAGGATTTATATCTATATTATAGACTTTTATAGATGGGTTTTATTAAAAGAATCGAAAAAATCTGGAAACTAAACACAATAATTGTTGAACGATTTAAAAATTACAGATTCAAAAATCATTACCTACATTTCTAAAATTTGATAACTACTATAATATGTGCATAATGATTCGAAAACTAAAAGCCTTTTGTTATTAAAAAAAATACAACAGAAAACACTACAAAAATATTTACACATTTTCTTCGTTTACGAACCTTTGATTTAACAGCATAATTGCCATGGAGCACCAATGCTTAGCATACGCTGATGATGTGGTTTTCATTGCAAGAAATGGAAAAGAATTATCAAATATAACAAACAGACTGATTCGGGAAAGCTCTAAAATGGGACTGAAAGTTAATATTAATAAATCTAAGTACATGGAGATCTCCAGCAAAAAAGGAATAAACACCAGGGGATACTTTAAATTGGTGGAGAATGGATCAGTTGTAGAATTCGAGAAGGTGGATGAATGTATGTACTTAGGTACTCTTATTGATCAGACATATAAGGAAGAAACTGAAATCAACCTGAGACTGACCAAGAGCAACAGGTGTGCTGGACCCATGAGCAAAATAATTAAGGCCAAAGATATATATCGAAATACAAAAATAAGAGTACCTATACAAAACTATAATTAGACCCACAATGCTATTCGTTGCCGAGACATGGACTACGAACAAAACCATACAGAACACATTGGAAGCATGAGAAAGAAAGATACTTCTCAGAATATTTGGTGGAAAAGTAGTAGAGGGAGAATGGAGAAGACGAACTAATGCTAACCCTACAATAACAAAAGTGGTGAAAAAACGTAGACTAGAATGGCTCGGTCATCTAGAAAGAATGCAAAGTAATTGACTAGTCAAGAATATTGCTTGGAGAGTACACGAGGGCAAAAAAAAAGAGAGGAAGACCAAGAAAGAAATGGAGATATGTAGTAATTTAAGATGTCAGATAGATGGAAATCAGAGATTGAATGCTGTTAGCTATGAATAGAAAACGATGGAAATTATCCATCCAGCAATGGGCCTAAAAGGCCTGTTACCGCTGTACATACAAATATTGCTCTTGAAACCATGGAGTTCATACAAGAATCTAGTATAGAGACTTTGGAGTGGCCATCAAGATCACCTGATTTGCGTCCGTAATTTTGGTTATTGTTTTATTCATCACATTTTTTACCTTGCCTAGATTGCAGAAGTTTCTTTGGTCCATGAAAACGACTGAATATGGGAAATTTACACATCCTTCCGCTATGACGTCTTCCCAATCTAAAGGTATTGATCGCAAGGCAGAAAACTGTGCCCTGAACATAAAAAATTTTAGTTTGACTTCCGCGAAATAAGCCAGTTTTATGACGAAAATATAAGGCCACTATTATCTAGTTATTATTTTGTCCGACGCGGAAGATCCCCAACGCTATGGACTGACGACCTCAAAAGAATCGTGACCAATTGGATAGCAGAGGCGCAGAACAGAAGCAGATGGAAAAGTCTAGAGGAGGCCTATGTTCAACAATGGAGAACTCAGGGCTGATTGATGATGATGATGATGATGATGATGATGATTTTGTCCGACGCATCTATCTGACTAAATAATAAGGGTACTTTTATCACCTTCCCTTAGTTTGGTGTAATTCGTTAGGATGTATTTTAGAATACACGACATTATTTCCGTGGAGGAGCCTCATTTTGCGATTGTCTCACTCCATAAGTGCATTGTGGCATTAAGTAGATAACATAGAAGAGTGCGTTAATGTTAAACTAACTAGTACTTGCTGTAGGTCAACACACAAAATCACAACATTAGTACTACTGAGAGCAGTATTCTGATCTTCCTTAAGAAATTTACATTCGGCTTCCGATTTAAGGTGGTGTAGTTCCCGTTCTGTGGTAATAGTGTAATGTTCCCCTTCTGTTGTTGAATTAACAAGCTTTAAATATATCATACTATCATCATCAATCAGCCTCAATAATTCACATTCTGAACATAGGCCTCTTCCTTATGTTTCCAACTCCGTCTTCTTGCGCCGCTCTTATCCAGTTTTTATTGAGTCTTCTTAAATCGTCAGTCTATCTTGTAGGTGGTCGACCGACGCTTCTCTACGCTCCCTTGGCCTTCATTCCAATAACCTCTTTGTCCATCGCCAGTCTGTCATTCTGGCTATGTGTCCTGCTCATCTCCATTTTGGTCTGGCTATCTTCTCGATGATGTCAGTCACTCTGGTTCTTCTCCTGATGTATTCGTTGGTTATTCTGTCTCGCAGAGTTATTCCTAACATGGACCGCTCCATTCTTCTCTGCGTAACTCTCAGTTTGGTAGCTGCTGCTTTTGAATATCAATATTTGTTTATCATTTGATCAATCATATCATTAATATCTCAATATCTCATTTGATCAATCATTAAATTTGTTGATACATTTTACGACTAACTTTTAAGTTTGGATTATTGTTGTTTAAAAATTCTATACATTTTACACAAAATTAAGTCTGGATTAAGACATTTTTTTTCTGTTTTATCCCTTGAATAGTGGCTGGGTTATATCGGAAAACTTTTTATGTGTAGTCTGGCCACATCCCTGTCAGCGTCCACAAAAGCATGAGGGATGTTTCCATATTTTCCGTTTTGATCTTTCGGAATAGTGATGACATTGTTGAAAACTTTTGGAATTGCTGTCGATCTTACTACTCGTTTGACAACCAGGCTCTATTACAACAATGCACCTCAAAAGATAGAGTGACTTATAATCTTAATATAGTTGGTGAAAATTATTGAACAACTGTATTTCCTTATATTAACTATAAAAAGTACCATGAAAATCAGCAGTTGCTAGCTATAGAGTCCATTTTTTTAACAAAATAGATCGTTATTCCACACACCTGCGTTGGTTGATGTTTTGTAGGAATTACTTGATAATTTCTTTTTTAAACATACTCTTCTCATGCATCTCTTTTTCGCTTTTTTTTTTCGCTTCATACAATTCCACTTAGTGACATTTACTTTTCTTTTTCTTAATTTATTAACCGTTTTCAGGATACTAGGAAATAAAACCACATGTGATTGAGATGCCATCGTTAATAATATAGAGCGTTTTTCCTTTTTATAAAAATTGTAAAAATGTATTGGTACGCCATCTAACCAGTCACGCCAAAACTGCATAGACCTTCGGATGGTCTACGGCACATAAATTATTGTTCTACGCAAACCCAACATACTGTCAAAATATAACATAAATCGTTGTTTTAGTGCACGCCTGAATTATGGTCATTCAAAGCCCTATCAATGACAAAGGGATCTATAATATGATCTCCAACAATTCCTGCCAAAACCTTAACCTTTTCAGGATATTGCGGACCAATGTCGGTATTTTTTGTGACTGTTAATTTTTAAATGCTCTTAAATATTCTTTTCCTTGTTACATTATCTTATTCAACTTTCATAGAAGATTTTGACTCGTGATGAGCTTGCGTTTAGTATTGGCTAGTTCTTGTTCTAATTCTTCGGAATCTTCTGGAATTCATGTGGTTGTAAAACTGTAAAAATTCAATAAAATTTTTGGAATTATGTGAGGTATTCATCTTTTAACATACCTTACGTTATTAGATGTTTAAGTAATAAACATGATTTTATGGTCAACCGATAATTAGGCTGCATATAATAATTTTGGGACAAATAAACTTTTTGATTCTGAATAGAATATAAAAAAAATATTTAACATTATGCCCAATATTTTTGTTTTTAATTTTATATATTATTTCTTGACAAATTATGCACATGATTTAGTAATCCTCTCAGAGCCTGAACGTGACGACGATCCAATAGCTTTGAAAAAAGCAAAATCTGCTTACGGTGCATGTATAGATGAAGAGTATCTAGCAGAAAGGAAAAACCCCGAAAAAATAATTGTAGCCGATGAACAAGGGTTTCCGTTAACACAGCTACCATGTCAACAACAAGCCACAAACTATAGTTTTCTAAATATTGCCGATGCTGTAAGCAAGTATGGTATCCCAATGCTGTTTAACGTGATAACTGCTGGAAATCCTGGAAATGCTTCCAATAATATACTCTATGTAAGTAAATGTTATTTTTTGTGTTATTTTTCATAATATTCGAGAATTTTAAGGATATCAGGTTTAAGTAAATGAATACCAATAAATATATTTTCAAATTAAAATTATACCCTACTTATTGAAAATTTTTTTCATGTTATAATAAAATAATCAAGTCGAAAACAACAAAAAATGTTTTTAATTTATCATAGAACGGAGTGGAGCATATTATAACATTTTTAAAATCCTTTCTTTCCTTTTTCCTTTAACTTGAGTAGATTTTATACTATTCGTATAATCACAAGACTCCTAAGACCACCAAGGGCCAGAATGAATGAGCATAATATATACATTAAAAACAGTGATTTCGACAAATCACAGATATCCAAACATGTTTGGAACAACGGTCAATGAGTGCAATAAAAAGATGCACTAATATTTTTTAAAGAAACACGAGAACAAGAGAAAAGCCAAATAAGCAGCTCTCATCCTATTTATTTATATTACATTACATTTACATTAGGATTATTAGGAAGTCGAAGACATACCGTCTACAATCTACACACAATACAATTGCAACAGACAATATACAAACATTTAATCTACTTTAACACACTTTACCCAAAACATATAATATAAAAAACACATAAAATAGTCAGAATTGACATTCCGTGGGTAAAAAACATCACCCTTATATTTTTTAAGCACAAACCACATGTATGCTGTTGCCTACAAAATTGAGGACAAGTAAGTCAACCATAAATTTTGAAAAACGTTACCTATAAAGCAGAACTTGTTTGTTAAACATTTTGCAGAATTTTTTTAAATAATCTTTTTAAAAACGATTTGCGGAGTGAAAATCAAAAAGTCAAACATTAGTTAGTTAAAAATGTAATTTTCGTTACAATCAATTTTAGTTTAATCTGTCTCCCTCTCCCTCTCTCTTCTGGAATTCCCTTTCCTTTAACGATCTGATTTTGTTCACAGCCTCCAGCACTTCTTTAAACTCGTTTTACTCCTTTCTTACTACGTTCAAACTCATTCAAACACATAGTATTCTCCTGTGTCGCTTATTCCAAAGTCCACACGGTTAGCCACTGTTACCTTGCCTATCCCCTCAAGGTAGGCTCTAAATGTGTCCGTGTCCCGAAAGGAATTGCGTGACTAAGTAGTTCGTGCTTTTATATTTGAACTCCACCCAATCCTCCACAACCGGAAGCAGATTCCTTGTCCATGCAGCCATACGCTCATTTACCCAGTTTTCCTGCCAATTTGTGATGGTTTCTGTTCTTTCTTTCGCCTTCTCCTAAGTACTCTTATCATATGTTTTGGCTCTCTCTTTTACCTGCAGGTATATTGGTAGTACCCCAGCTATAACTTGTAGTGCTACCGTCAAGGTCGTCTTATTAGGGATTTTCTTTGGGCCTAAAATTTGTTTGAACTTTTGTGTGTTAGTTACTTGACGTCACGCGACTGCAGCATATACAATTTTGGAGTGTACCACTTCCATAAGAGTCCTTTTGTTTTCCGTACCTGGGCTTTTTATATTTGGCAAAATTATTGCCAATGCTGTTGCTCTCTGTTTGGTCTTGTTTGCAGCGTATTTGAGAGGTTTGCCAAATATCCGTTTATTGTCCAGCATTACTCCTAGATATTTATCTTTTTTGACCGGCATTATTCTTTCTCCCTCGATGGTGAAGGAGATGGGATCTCTGTCTCTAGGTCCTTTTAATATCAAAGCTTCAGTTTTTTGCGCAGCGAGTTTCAACTCTCGGTCTTTCCATCACATTTTCACTCTTTCCAGGGCAGCATTGGCTGAGTTAATTATAAGCCTGTTTTAATTGTACTATACTAGAACGACCAGGTCATCCGCATAAGGTATAACTTGTGTTCCCGTTCCAAAATATTTCTCTAGTATATTATTATAAAGGATGTTCTAGAGCAAGGGTCCAAGGTCAAGCCCTGTGACGCTTATGTCTACTTAATAAGTTGTCCTTCACTATGTTTTGTCAGTATGGGAATACTTCCAATTTCTTTAGTATTTTACTTTTTACTACCCATTTGATGTGATTGTTTGTAAAAGTCTTATGACATACTATTTCTTGTCCATCCTAAGATGTTTCTTTTTATACATTTACATTTATATCTAAAATGACCTGGAAAGCCCTGTAATTTAATAGTGATACACTTCTCCTGTGAGATCTTCGTTTCCTTGAGACTATAACCAATTAATTACCAATTACCAAAATAGTGTTCTTATTACTAGCGTTTCAGTCAGTAGACCTCAACAAATAAGTACGAAATTAGGTTAGGTTAGGTTAGGTTCAATATGAGTGGGTACTTAACAACTTAACAAAATCTATTATGGTCTCAGGTGACACTTCCACGAAGTCATAATCATAGTTGATAATGATCTAATGTATAGAGTCTTTTCCTATCCAAACCTGGCCAGTTGCACAAAATGTGTTCTGCCGTTTCGTCATAAGCCTGACATAATCAGAAATTCGCATATAATCTGTCAGTCCGATGTGGTTCATGTGCCACCTAGGGCGAAGGTGCCCTATCAGGAGACCTACGATAATCCGATTCGATTATAGTGCCTTTTAATGTTGCCTTGCTATGCGATATAATTTTTATAGATCTGTCCCTGTAGTTTTTTTTATTAGTATCTGAAGGCACATATCTTTAGCTTAAATTTCCGACTGTAAGATAGTAGAGTGATTACCTAGGTAATCTGAGACTTAGCATTAGCTTTCCTCCGTATATTCAAGCTCCAACTCATTCATCGGTAGTAGACTATTTACACCGCTAATCATTCGATGTTACGCAGAGCCATAGCTAGTTAAGTTAATATGTGGCCACACCTATAATTAGCTGAATCAAACCTAAAAATATAATTCAAAAGTTGTGTCGACAATGACGTATGTCAACTACATCTAATTTTAATATCAAACTTTTTGTTTTAGATATCTATGTTAGATGCTCAAAGTTTGACACCTGTACAAATTCGGCACAACCATGGCACATCATACGAACAACTAATCGAGGAAGGATTCATATCTGTAGGCACATCTGAGAGTAAAAGTTCACAAGTTTTAAAACCATTTGACATTTTCCTTAGACAAATGTCTTTAAAGATGAGGAATGCCACTGAAAGTTTTTTAACTGATAGTCAGGTGTTTAGTAACTTGGAAGCTGTCGTCCAGGTTACAAGGGCTGTGTTTACTGGCGGTGTAAGTATTAAAATCTATGTACATATAAACACACAGTTTTAAACGGCATTATAAGCATGGAGATTTTAAAAATAAATTTAAGCTTAGATGTTAGCTTCAAACTTTTAACACCTCTTTTCTTTATTTTTTTTTGCACGATTATCTTGTAGTTGTATTTATCAGATACAATACAAAAGAAAATTCCATGTATAATTCAAAACATTTGTCTTAAAAACATTACAACAGAAAGTTTGTCTAAATTGTTTTTTTTTTTATATTGATATTGTAAGTAGGTACCTACAAACAAACAAAAAGTTTTAATGGATGTTAGTGAAATAAGTCCTTTACTAACAATCCGTTATAGGTTTTATTAAAGTTGCAAAAAGGATGGGCTATCTGTTTCGCTATTTACAGACTTTTGCAGCACCTTCAGGGCCTCAAGAAGCTAAGGCTAAAATACATAGTGTATATGAACGAATGTGTATATGACAAAAAAAAAATCAATAAATTATTTGGGTAGTACAGAGAACTTAATCAATAGTCAGTCAACAATGACAGCAAACAGATAAAATAAAATAGTATGTACGTGTGTTTTAAATTTAAATAAGATATTGTGGACCAGCTTCGCTCTGAAGTTATCTGTATGAGTCGTTTTTAATTAAATATATAAGATAAATGAATTAGGTACACCTACTAATATGTAGCGGGTAGCGGGTAGGTACTTTTCACGATTCCGGTGGAAACAGACCTACTTCAGGGATTAGCGACCCTGCCCACGCTAGCTCATGATATTCCACCATCTCACACCGTGGAATCTCATGTCCCAGAGCCTTTATCCTACACCCTCCATATTTATCCCTCCTAGTCCTCAACCCTGGTGAAGGGCAGCAGCGATCACCAGTACCAACGCAAGGCGCAAAAGAAATTATCTTGGACCGGCTTGTTATTGGAATTCCACAGGCATGACTAGGACAGTTTGAATGGCTGTGGTACTGCGGTGTTGAAAGTAACGGGATACTACAACACTACCTTTTCCTCAGGATAACTCATCTCCAGGATGGTCAGAGGGTGCGAAGAATCTCCCGGTGCCAAATAGATGATATCCAACGAATTTCAACATGGAATGTTAATAGTCTTTACGAACCAGGAAAACTACACAACCTTATAAAGGAAATGAATCGGCTGAAAATAAATATAATGGGAGTCAGTGAAGTTCGATGGTCTGGATCTGGACAGTTTACGAAAGATAAGATTACTATGTATTACTCGTGTAGTGACCCAACAGATAGACATCACCGACATGGGGTGGCTATTGCTCTTGACAGGAAGACCAGTAAATCGGTGACAGATTTTGTTCCAATTTCCGAACGAGTCATGTTGATCAAAATGACAGGCAAACCAGTAAACATAAATGTGACACAAGCATATGCACCAACAGCAGATAAGTCAGAAGAAGAAATAACTAAGTTCTATAAAGATCTGGAAAAAGCAATAAGACTAACAAAGAAAGAGGACATAAACATAATAATGGGCGACTTTAACGCCAAGGTGGGTAAAGGAAGATATGAAGACATAATTGGAGAGTACGGCCTTGGAGTTAGAAATGAAAGAGGCGACCTGCTGTGTGAATTCAGCCAGGAGAACGGTTTTGTCGTCATGAACACATGGTTTCAGCTCCCACCTCGTAAGTTATATACTTGGAGATCGCCAGGAGACCGTCCAAATCGAATAATTAGAAACCAAATTGACTACGTTTTAATAAACAGAAGATTTCGTAACGCTATCAAAAGAATCGCAGCATATCCAGGTGCTGATATTGCATCCGATCATAATCCGCTAATAGCAGATGTGAGGTTAAAACTAGCAAAAATTAAGAGAACAAATACAAATACCAGCACACCTATAAATACAAGAGAACTGATGAGAGACGAAAATCTGAAGAAGAGTTATGCGAATCAAATTAATGAATGAATGCGAGTAATAGGACAAAATTATGATATCGAAGAGATGGTCAATGATATTAAAGGAACGATTCTGGCAGTAAACAGGGAAGTTAAAACACAGATCAGAAAGATAAAGCATAACGAATGGATGACGGACGAAATTATGGATCTAATGGAAAAGCGAAGGCAACATAAACAACAACGTAATCAAGACAAATACAAACAGATACACAAAGAAATCCGTCAGAAAATTAAGAAAGCAAAAGAACGTTGGATGGTGGAAAGGTGCAACGAAATAGAACAATTGCAGGAAAAAGGAGATAGTTTTGGACTACATAAGAAGATCAAAGAAATATCGAATATACACAAAAGCCACCACAGAACAAGAATACGCAACGACAGAAACGAATACATAGAGTCAGAAGAAGAGATAGCAATGGCGTGGAAAGAATACGCAGAAAGCCTTTTTAATGACGAAAGACCAACACAACCAACGCGCAAACTTCCTTCCGAAAACTTATCAGGGCCATCAATAATGCGAAGTGAAATAGAATATGCAGTTAGAACCACAAAGATGCATAAAGCAACAGGTCCAGATGAAATTAATATAGAAGCAATAAAACTACTAGACGAGGAGAATATCGAAATCTTGGTAAGGCTGTTCAATAGAATTTATGATACTGGTTACATTCCGCGAGAATGGCTGCAGTCATCCTTTGTGATGATCCCAAAAACAGCTAATGCCACAAAATGCAATGAACACCGCTTAATCAGTTTAATGAGTCACTTGTTGAAACTCTTCCTTAGGATATTACACTCAAGAATGTATAAGATACTAGAAGAACTTAGCGGGTCAACACAATTCGGTTTTAAGGGAGGACTAGGAACAAGAGAGGCAATTTTATGTTTGAACACCTTAATACAAAACTGCTTAGATCAACGAAAAGATGTCTACCTCACCTTCATCGACTACGAGAAGGCATTTGACAATGTTAAACATGATATCATGATGGAACTACTACATAGGGCCAACATTGACCAGAAGGAGATCAGAATTATTCAGAATCTATACTGGAACCAAATGGCAAAGGTGAGGATTGATCAAGACCAATATACGGATGAATTTGAAATCCGGAAAGGTGTCCGCCAAGGCTGCATACTCTCTCCGATGCTTTTTAATTTATATGTTGAAAATATATTTGCGGAAGCATTAGAAGATACGGAATTAGGCATTAAGGTGAACGGCATACCAATTAGCAACCTACGCTATGCGGACGACACAGTGATTATAACTGATAATTTGGAAGATCAGCAGTTACTACTTGATAGGGTGAATAGCATAGGTAAAAAATATGGCCTCAAAATCAACATTTTGAAAACGAAATATATGGTCATTAGCAGAAACCCTCCAGAAAACCCGATATTATGCATAGGTGACAATCGTATAAATCGCGTGAAAACTTTTAAATACCTTGGCACCACAATCAATGACCAATCGGATCCACAACACGAGATAAAAACCCGAATACAAATGGCAAGACAAGCTTTTGTGAAATTCAGACCGCTCCTATGTAATCAACACCTAAACTTCGAAATACGCTACAGAATGGTCAAGTGCTACATATGGTCTATCTTGCTTTATGGCATGGAAACGTGGACTTTGAAAAAAACATCTATCAACAAACTTGAAGCATTTGAAATGTGGTCATTGAGAAGAATGATGCGCATACCTTGGGTGGATAGAGTTCGAAACGATGACGTCCTTAATAGAGCCGGCGTGGAAAGAGAACTCTTTGAATTAATTAAAAAACGCAAGATTGGTTACCTTGGGCACATATTGAGAGGAGCAAAATATGAAATACCACAGTTAATCCTACAAGGGAAGATCGAAGGTAGGAGAGGAGCCGGCCGCAAACAATTGTCCTGGTTAAGGAATATTAAAGAATGGACAGGAATACACAATACAGGTGAGCTGTGTCACGCCGCCAAGAACAGAATTCTAGTAATGAGATAGTCGCCTACGCACTTTGGTGTATGGCATGTTAAGAAGAAGAACTAATATGTAAGTATTTTCATTCATTTATCTTATACTATTTTATTAAAAATGACTTACAGTTAACCTCAGATCGAAGCTGGTCCAAAATATCTCAAAATCTAATTTAAATTTAAAACATATCTACATACTTCTCTTTTATTTTATCTGTTCGATGCCATAACAAACATTTGGACTATTCATTAAGACCTCTGTACTACTCAAATAATTATTTATTTTGTCACATGCACATTCGTTTATACACACTATGTATTTTAGCTTAAGTTTCTTGAGGACCTGAAAATGATTTTTCAACTTAAATAAAACCTATTACATATTGTAAGTAAAAGACTTATTTCCCCAACATTCATGAATATGTGCTCACACCAGCAACCCTTTTATTAATTAAAAAGTTTTAAATTTAGTTTGTTGCGTTCCAACTACAAGATTAGGCCAATTATTTTACAATAAATTTTACATAAGGTTATAATTTAAAATAAGGAAAAAACATATTTACTATTGAGATAGAAATCTGAATATTTTATGAAATCTAGTACATTCTGAATAAATTCTGGTTGGCTGAAGATAGCATTTGTACAACCTTATTTATGTACCATATTTTCTTCGCACTTACTCATACTCGATACACTGTGTAAGAATATGTTGAACTGTTAATAGTTCATTGCACTTTCTAAAGTCAGATGATTCCTCCGCAGCCATGAGGTGTCCATGAGTCAGCAGCGTGTGACCAATTCTAATCCTACGGACGATAATTTGTGTCTTCTACTTACATAAAATAGCTGAAAGGTTCCAATGGAAGGTTGTATTTTACGTAGTTTCAAGGTAGATCTGCTCCATTGGTGGAGAGGTGTTGGATCGCTCCTGAAAAGTGGTTTTGGATCTTATGCAAGTTGGACAACTTTAATATCTTAATTTGTGATATTTGATTTCTCTACAGCATTATCAGCAGTCTCATTATCTAAAATGCCAACATGAGAAGGAATTCAAACTAATTTTATGTTTAGTCCAGAAGAAGTAAAATAGTTTGTTACTTTATGTATGCCATGAAATAATGATGTTCGGGATATATTTTTAATCGGGTTGATAAAAGCCATCTAGTCTGTACATAATGCAGTGTTTTGGCTTGAGTTTCTTCAGTTAGGTAAACAGTTTAATCATTTTAGGATGAAAGCGGATGACGGAAGGCAAAACTTTTGGATAATACTATTTGCAGTTGTTAGAGAATAACAACTGCTGTCTTACTTTTAGATACATCTGTTAAGAGGATTTCGTCATATAAGTTTCTGTTGACCAACTCTAAGAAACATTGTCTGAAGATTTGGCTGTTGGTTTCATTATTGTGGTACTTGTTGAACGAAATGTTAATTTTGGACTGTAATGTCCAAGGAGGGGTTGACGATAGTAAATGAGCATCTGTTACTGAAAGGTCAATCGATAGTATAAGGGGCTTATACTGCTGTCTTACTTTTAGATACATCTGTTAAGAGGATTTCGTCATATAAGTTTCTGTTGACCAACTCTAGGAAACATTGTCTGAAGATTTGGCTGTTGGTTTCATTATTGTGGTACTTGTTGAACGAAATGTTAATTTTGGACTGTAATGTCCAAGGAGGGGTTGACGATAGTAAATGAGCATCTGTTACTGAAAGGTCAATCGATAGTCTAAGGGGCTTATACTGGGGTTATAAGGGTTCTGTTGACCAACTCTAGGAAACATTGTCTGAAGATTTAGCTGTTGGTTTCATTATTGTGGTACTTGTTGAACGAAATGTTAATTTTGGACTGTAGTGTCCAAGGAGGGGTTGACGATAGTAAATGAGCATCTGTTACTGAAAGGTCAATCGATAGTATAAGGGGAAATAAAACTTGAGTTAATTTTTAATTGTTAGGCTCACATAATATGCAAGGTTATTTTGATTCGAAGTTATCTTAACAAAATATGTTATAAGCAGTTATCTGTAAAGCAGAAGGAGAAATTCACCTGTCTCACAGCGAAGGCTTTCGACAGGACTGGATCTGAAGGCTCCGAGCCATATTCGTAATGCTATATAAAGTTTTATAATTACTGAAAATATCAATTGTACAATAGGTGACTACGCCGATTGCAAACACTTTTTGAAATTTTGAATTTAAAATACTCCTGATTTTACTGTTTTTTTGGGGCACACATCGAAGCTTTTCGAACCCATCGAATAGAAGAAGTATCGGCCGACCACGCAAGAGATGGAGTGACAATCTCCTATAGAGTGAATAAGCTGCCAATGTATATCAAGTATAATTATCTTAAATCCATCCTTTGAACCCATTATCGATGATTTTTTTTTTTCGGAAAAGTATATTATTTCGCAGTTACAAATATGTAGTTAACTTACTTATATCCCGGTAAATAATAAAAAAAGAGATTTTTTAAAGTCATATTCGTAAACAAACATATTACTATTGTCCACGCCTGCATGATACGATACCAAAGTCACGTGTGAAATAATTACAATTTACATTTCAGTATTCAATATTGACAAGCTTTTATTTTAAAACTTTTTTTATTTTCTTTATGATTTGGGTAAAGTGGGTTATGGCCCAGAACATCCCTTATGTACCTCTCACATAGCCTGTCCATCGTTTTCACGAGAAACAATGTTATGCTAATTGGTCGGAAAGCCATTGGTAAGATGTAGTCCTTCCTACCGGTTTTGGTACGAGAACCAAACGTGCCTCTCCTCACTTCCTAGGTATATATCTCAAAGCCAAAGATGTTCTGAATATTTCCACATGGTGCGTCAAAAGGATATCCAGTCCTCACCGAGGTAGGGCTGAATATAAACCGTCAGGCCCTGGTAATTTGAAAGGGGTGAAGCACAATATGACCCATCGTATCTATTCCCCATTAATCATTTTACTGACAAGATGCCAGTCGTTTAGTAAGGGTATTATTGTTTCTTCCAAGTTTGGTGCTGTTAAGGCATTAGGACCGGTGAAATGGGTTTTCGTCATGATCTCAGCACTTTCGCAAAGGTTGAAAGTTTTGCTTCCATCTTCCTTCGTTAATATGTCGATATGTCTATGTGAGTCCTTTGGGGAGCGCGACTTTCTTAAGCTCTCAGAGGTTTGATTGATAGGAATTCGAATCTTTTTTGAGTTTGGTGCGTTTTACTCTATTAAAAGCTGTTTTTGCTGCCTTCCTAAGTTATTCTAGTTCAGTGCACAACCAAAAGTTGTTGATTTTTTATAAGCATAGCTTATTTTGAGATCCTTGCTGTCTGTGCTGCAGAGATCTTAGTTTAAAAATAAACAGAATGCACCAAATTATCCCTTATGGTATAACGCAGGTTCTTAGTCAGTAAGTCAAGTTCATACTTTTGGTATTTTAAGAAAAAAAAAAATATATATATATATATATATATATATATATATTATATATATATTATATATATATATATATATATATATATTCGGTTTTTATAACGTCTTACGACGTTGTCCGACTCCCAAACGCCACTGTATTCTGTCTTGAGTTAGGTCTTCGTCCAGATTTCGAGCGCTAATCGCTTTCCTAACTCCCAGGTTCCAGCTCTGTGGTGGTCTTCCTCGTTTCCTCTTCTCTGGGGGTTGCCACATCATCGTTTTTTTAGGCAATCTTTCGTCCCCCATTCGGCTCACATGCCCATACCATATGAGCTGTTTTCTCTCAATATCCTCAACTATAGTGCCCTCTATACCCATTTGTTGTTTTATCACTTCATTCCGTATTCTGTCGGCTCTTGATATTCTCATCGATCTTCTGATGGCATCCATTTCCGTGGCTTCGACCTTTTTCTTATATTTCTCGGTTATTCTCCATGTCTCAGCTCCATAAAGTAGGCTAGTTTTAACCATTGTCTCATAGATGTTCCATTTTCTTTTCTTTGATATTTCTTTACTCCATAGAACTTCGTTCAAACATGCTATAGCTCTTCGTGCTTGTACAATTCGATGTTCTATTTCTCGTTCGTCTTTTCCACTACGGTCGAAGATGACGCCCAGGTATTTATATTCGTCACATGGATTTATTTTTTGATTGTCATCGATATCGAGTTGTTCTGCTTCAGCTCCAATTGAGAGGTATTTTGTCTTTTCTAAATTGATATTTTTCCCCATTTCTGGTATTCTTCAATTAGTTTTCTAAGCATGTATTCCATGTCGTCTTTGTCATTTGAGATCACCACCTGATCATCTGCAAACTGTAACGTAAAGTATATATGTAATCCTGATCGTTCAATTGTATACCCATTTCTTTGACTTTCCTTTTCCATTGTTTCAGAGCTGCAGAGATATAAATCTTAAATAGAGTCGGAGAGATACAACATCCTTGTCTGAGACCCTTAGTAACTGCAAATTTTTCAGCTAAGAGGTTTCCGAATTTCATTTGGGAGTTTGAACCATAATATAGATCTTTGAGAGCACTAACCAGTTGATGTTTGATGTCCCATGACTTCCCTGTATTTAGCGGGACTGTGTCATATGCCTTCTCAAGATCTACAAAAGTCATATGTAACTCTCTATTTGTCACAATTTTCTTTTCTATAATTTGTTTAAGACAGAAGATGTTATCTGTACATGAACGACCTGCTCTAAATCCTCCTTGTTCTTCGTCTTCAGACGATTGATAATCTTCCTCTCCATCAGGTCCCGTAGTATTCGACCGTATAGTCGACTCATTAACTTGTGACCGATATCCCTCTATAGTTTTTACAATTTCTTCTGTCACCTTTTTTATATATTGGGTCATATATGCTGTTTTCCATTCATCTGGTGTTGGATGTCCATTAATATATTCGTTAAATATCACCGTGATCATTCTGTGTAATTTCTCTGAGCCATTTCTTTATTAATTCCGTAGTTACTCCCTCTGGTCCACTTGCTTTCCCATTCTTCATCCCTGCTATAGCTTTTAGAACTATGTTGATATTTATGGTAATATGATCTCCCAGAATTTCGATTCTTGATGAATTCATATCTTCTTTAAATTCGTATCTGTTCTCATTTAATAGATGTTTGTAATAATGTGTCCAATCCTCGAGATTTATGGGATTTAGAATCACTTTCTCGTTAGTCAGCTTCTTAACAGAGTTTATAAACTTCCACGCCTCAGTGCATTGTCATCCTCCAATATAAGATTCTATTTCTCTGCACCTTCTGTCCCATATCTCATTTTTGGAGGTCATAATTATCTTTCTAGTTTTCTTCTTCATTTCATTGTATCGGTCTTTGTCTGCGTCATCTTTTGTATTCAACCACTTATGGTATAATCTTTTCTTTTCTGTTACCGCGTTTACGACGTCTTCATTCCACCAAAGCTTGTTACTAATTTTATTTTGTTTGATTCCTAAGACCTCCTGTGCTGTTTGATGAATACTTGATATTATATTCTCATATATGCATTTGGTATTTGTTAGTGTTTCGTCAAGTTTGGAGTCCATTCGAGTCTTATATAGTGTACGGGTGCTCTCATGAATTAAACTGGACAAAAAAAATATTTACAATCTTAAATCTCAAAATATTTCAAATATTTTTTTTCAAATACTTTTTAAGTTTGTAGGAAAAACTTGTAAGAAAATTTGTTGGGTCATTACATTATAGAATTATATTTTTAAATATTTAAAGAAAATATTTAAGTGTGATAATTTTAAATGTTTATAAAACCTTTTAGTATGTGGACAATGCTACTATATCGCCTATATTGGGAGATGACGTTTATTCAGTAACGCTTGAGGATATAAATACTTGGACTACACAACAATTTAATAATACCGTTAAAGTAAGTTTATTTGTTAATATTTTACACTAAACAAGATATTAGATTTTAAATAATAATTAATATTATCCTGGATATTATCTTTTAATATCGTTCTTGTAACAATATTACCTGTTACCTAGGTGACCAAATATAATGCATAAAGATACATATTTTTAAATTTTGTTAAAGTATTGTAGCAGTGGCAGTAGTTCCAAATTTTTACTTATTACCCAAGTCGGGCAAATATGCTGGCCAAAAAGTAAGATATATGCGCGTATATAATATATATTATTTGTAGCAACTACAATATACATGCATGGTTTTCTATTTAAAAAACAATAGGTAATGATAAATTTTTCAAAATTTTCTAACAAAAAGTTACCTCTCCTATATGCGTACATGAATTTGTATATAGAAAACCTTTGTTTTCATCTACCGAAGTTATGAGAACACATTTAAAATTATTTAACTTTAGACTCAACCTTTAAGGTCCCATCAAATACAAATTAGGGTTTAATAAATATTTTTAATGTAGGAGCTGAGATCTCTCTGAAAAGATTAAAATACAGCAATTGGCCGATTCTCCAAAATCTACATGCCATCATATATTATTTTTAGAACCTCTAACCAAATCAGAAATCCATAATATTATATATATATATATATATATATATATATATATATCCGGTTTTTTAGGCGTTACGCCCGTCCGGTAGGGATCTATGGAGGAGTATCACCGAGCCGCAAGCCCTTATCTATTGCCGTACTGCTCCACCATAGGCCGATCAGATCCCAGCATATTCTAGTCTAAGCCGCAGATTCATCTAGAATTTTAAACTGCTGCGTTAGACTTTTTGTTTTCTGTACACTGAGCTGGGGCTCGATCCCACATCCACTGAACCATTCGACAGTGAAACGAATGAGAGGCAGCCGCACAGCCCGCTGAGCTATCTGACCGACAATATAATATTAAATGAAATGAGGTTGAATGCTCGAATAAGAGAACTTTGAAAATAAGGCTATTATCGAGCACAAATTAATTAAATCAAGCCCAAGTACTTTCGCTTAAAATAGCATCATAATGTATCCCTCCAGATACTGACATATTATCCCTCCAGATACTGACAGAGAATGTAGCGTAGAATCTTTAAGTAATTTTAAACTGTTTGTCCTCGTTTTAGTGTAGTGTTTTGTACAATTTTATGTTATTTTTAATGTTTCCACATTCTACGCTTGCCGGATAGTTTACATTTTGACGAAATGCCCCTGAAGATGCTATTTTAAGCGAAAGTACTTGGGCTTGATTTAATTAATTTGTGCTCGATATTAGCCTTATTTTCAAAGTTTAATATAATATTATTTATTATATTTTATAATTACTCCATAATATTATTCATTTCTAAAAACCTAACAAATCCTCTGGAATAGATAACGTTTCAAATATCGTGGTAGATCCTATAACTAACCGTTAAACTGTTGCAGCTCCGCTTGTTGTATTTAATGGCACAGTCAGAGATGTAGTGTAGTAGTATATGACTATAATTACAGAACATACTTTAAATTCAGGACTTAACATAAGCCCCAGCAGTTTAAAATCATGAAATTTACCAAAAAGAAGGATTTAAAGAAAGTAAAGCCTGTAAACCTGAATGGTACCAATCTAAACCATTACATGATTCTAGGTTTAGAGGAAAGAATAACCAAGAGAGTAGTAACTGCTTCAATAGCAGCCAGAGGCATTCAGGAAAAAATATGGGTTTCAAAACAGGCATGTTATATTGGAGTGGACTGCCTGGTAAAACGAACAATAACATGCACAGGTGATATGGTGGTCAAAGGTGCTGAAAAAGTTGCTATCCTTAAAATAATCAAGGAACAAAAACTTGCTTGTATTGGAATTACAGAGACTTTGCGAATATACCAACAGCAGCTATTAAGGATCTACTAAAATTCGGGATACCTTATTTTTGATAACTTCTGATTAAATGGTATCAAATATACATCTACAGTACCTATCCCGGTGAACATCTACTCACGATATAAATGAGGCAAAGAAAATACACTAATAAAGTGTACCCGATCATACACATTGGAAAATGTATATTAAAAAAACGTATTTGTGCTAATAAGTTTAAAGTACTATAGAAAATAAGCAAGAAGCAGCGTAGAAGGATCACAGGCTGTCTTACTGAATATGTTCCAGTCAAGGGATACTTGTCTACAATAGGGCTGTTTAATGGAGATTTGATGATGATATCAAATTTATACTACAGCCAACGATCAAATGTGAAAATTTGAAGAAAAGTGTGAGAAGAAGTGAAGATAATAAGAGGGGTCAGGCAAGGTTGCATACTGTCGCCGTTATTGTTTAATGCGTATTCTAAAGAAATCATACAAGAAGCTTTCTTAAACGAGACAGTCGGCATAAAAGTGAACGAAAGTTTAATTAACAACATTAGGTATGCCGACGATACGGTCATAATAGCCGACAACTTGGAAGACTTAGAAAGAATAATGAACAAAATATTAAGATATAGTGGAGAATACGGACTCTCTCTTAACATCAAAAAAACCAAATTCATAAAAATTAGTAAGAACAACAATACAAATGAAATATTAACGGTAGGCGGCCAGCAGATTGAGAGAGTAAAAAAATATACTTACTTGGGAACGATAATCACAGAAACTAACGATTACACTGCAGAGATATGAGTCAGAATTGAAAAAGCACGTGCCCACTTTGTAAAAATGAAAAAGATTTTATGCATCAAAGATCTCACATTGGCCCTCAGAATAAGGCTAATTGAATGCTATGTACACAGTGTACTCTACTAACGAGCTGAATCATGGACATTAAACCGGAATACAATAAATCGACTTAACGCGTTTGAAATGTGGACATTTAGAAGATTGTTAAGGATTCCATGGGTAGATAGAGTCACAAACGCAGATGTGTTAAGGAGAATAGGCAGAGAGAAGGAAATGGAAAATACAATAAAAGAAAGATATCTCGGACATGTAATGAGAGGCGAAAGATTCAACATCTTGAGACTAATACTTCAAGGAAAAATAGAGGGTAGGAGAGAGCGTCGGAAGAAGACGCGTTTCCTGGTTGAAGAACCTGAGAGAGTGGTTTGGTTGCAGCTCAAGGCAATTGTTCAGAGCAGCTGCCTCGAAGGTCAGAATAGCCATGATGATTGCCAACCTCCGTCGCGGAGATGGCACTTAAAAAAGAAGAAGAATGGAGATTTCAAGAGCAAACTTTGGAACAGATAACCTGATATAATCAGCTATATTTTGCATGACTGCAAGGTATTTTTAGATATCAGGCAGCAAACATTTTTAGGAGACTATCAAGTGACTCAAAAATCATATGATAACTAGCATCTAGACCTGTATAAGCTGATACAAGGTTAACCTTGTCTGAGGGTGAAACTTGGTATCACTTGATATCATAAATAAACGATATAGCCAATTGGTTGCATTATGAATAATTTATAGGAGACGTCTTTAAAAAATAATGCTTTTAATTTTTACTACATATAATAGACACATAATGAAAAATAAATTTTATTGATAAATAATAGACTCGAATCCATATAAGTAAAAAATAATAAGTGCACCAAACTCACTACTCAAAAACTATCTATATACAGAATAAAGTACAGCTATATAAGAACATTTTTAAAAGCATTGTATTTTATGGATGTGAAACCTATGGTAACTCACTAAGAGTATATAACAAAAACTTCTTGATCCGGAAATGGATTTTTGGCGAAGATGAGCAAGTATGTCGGGAATGACGCACGTAACGAAACAAGACAAACCATGGAGAGAAAATTATCTTCATAGAATAAATACAACAAAAACAGCTTATTTGGTACGGATTTGTATAGATAATGACAGACCATCGCCTACCGAAGATAATATTGGATCGGTAGCCACCTGCCACCGCCGAAAACAACATAGCTTAATGAAGTCCAAAAGCCAATGTCAAAGAGAGATCTATGACCAGATATAAATAAAGATTAAGAACCGGAAGGTATAGGACACTTACAGCAGGCATTATATATTATAGTAGGTAAAATGTATTCAACAACAAAACGGCAAGAACAAAAGAATAAAACACAAGAAACAGTATATGTCGAAATTTTTCAGACATGATGGTTATTATTTATTTATAAGCAATAATTAAGGATTATAAAATATGGAGAAAGGTAAAAGAAATGTGAAAAAAAAAACAAAAAATACTGAAAATCAACTGTAGAGATTGGAGTAAAAAATTGAAAGGTCATATGCGTTGAAACAAAATATAATAGTAAAAATAGAAGAAATCTGATTTAACTAAATTAATTTTTTGATTCTAGGATATTATAATTGAGATGGTAATAACTTAAAATATTGAATACATTTATTTATTTTTAAATAAGTGTAAATAGGTAACACCTGTAGTTATAATTAAATATAATAGATTTTCCGCAAATCGCCAGGAAATTTTGACATTCCTGTCAAAATTTCTTGAAGAAAAAGTCAGGACTTCCTTACTGTAATGAAATGTCATTTCCTTACTGTAAGGAAATGATATTTCCGTACAGTTGTTAGTGTTCTACATAAATGATAGAAAACACATTGCTTATAAGGAATTAATTTATATTTTGAAAACACCAAGTCATTGCTGAATACATTTTTAAGATCAATTTGTTATATTTACAGTAATTTGACAGTTAGTACAATTATTGAACATTGGAGGAACACTCTTAGAACTATGAGAAACATTTTGGACAACATGCAGGGTGGAAGTGTCATTTTGTTGAATATTTTGTACTGTGAAAATTTTATTTGCCACCTCAACCTTATTGTTAAGCGATTCTTCGATATATCCTTCAGCAACGTTTGATGACTTCCATCCGCCATGCCTCTTTAAACTAGTTATGTCGGCACCAGAGTCAACCAATATTGTTGCAGAAGACCGACGAAAGCAGTGACCAGGATATTCTGTCGGATTTACCAAGTTCAAATAA